AGAACCGGTTGTTGGAAGAAATCTTTTGTTTTTCCCCACTTTTCAGGGCTGTTAAGGAAGGCAGGAAGGAAACATTCTGGTGTTGTTTCTAGTCTAATCTTTATTGCCCTGCTTACAGAAACTGCCTCTCCAGTTAACCCTTATTACCATTGTAACAACTAAGGTGACGTGCCCATCGATCTGAGTGACATTGACTTGGCCACGCCCACATGATCACATGACCACTGAGCCCCGCCTACCCAGCTGGTCATTAGGGCAGAGAACTGGTTGGTAAATTATTTGAATCCCACCACTGATGTTCAAAGTCAGAGAGATCTGGAGTAGTCTGAGTTTGGAAAGGCAACTAAAGGAATTACATGAAACTAATTTTGCGAGTTAATAAATTGGCTTTACATTTAACTTTAGTTTGACTCATGGTTTGCTTCTGTGTAACTTGGGGTTACAGGGGGTGCGGGGCGGAGAACCTGGAAGGAAGAAGGGAAAAGCAGACTGACTCTGTAATAACCATCTTGGGAATTTGGCCCCCCAAATATGTTTCCTGTGTATTTTCTACAGACATTTCAGACCAAAGCTTTTAAGACAGGGTTTCTCAACCTTAGCTGCTTGAAGATGGACTTTTTCTTTTTTTTAAGGAATAGAGAACTTAGTACAGATGGTCCTCGACTTACAACCATTCATTTAGCAACTGCTCAAAGTTACAACAGCACTGAGAAAAGTGACATGCGACTGATTCTTGCACATGATCATTGCAGCATCCCCAAAATTGCATCATCCAAATTCAGGCACTTGGCGACCATTATGTATGAGCTGGAGTCATGTGATCACAATTTTGATCTTACCAGCCAACTTCCAACAAAGCAAAGTCAACGGGGGAAGATGGATTTGTTTAACAACTGTGTGATTCACTTAGCTGATGTGATCACTTAACAACTCTTGTAGAAAAGATCATACAATTGGGCACAACTCACTTAGCAACTGCCCTGTTTAACAACAAAACAATCTGGTTATAAGTTGAAAACTATCTGTATGCCAGGCAAAGCAAAAGCTTTTCTAGACAAAGAACTCAGCAGACATGCAGGAACAACACTTGGGACTCAAATACATGTGCAAATTGTGCACATAGTCAGGTTTGGGGCTGACTGCTCTATGGAGTTAGATATTATAGAAAGAGGCAAGTTCTAGATAAGAGTGAAAAAAGATAAGACCTTTAGTTATCTCTTCTCTTCTTCTGTAGATACCTATGTTTCCAAGCTACCTTTCAGAGATGAAAAGATTTTAAATGCTAAATAATTTAAATGAAAATGTTTCCATTAATGCCAATATTATCTGTATAAGTACAATACATTATGAAAATGTTATACAAATTCTGAAATTATAAGATGGTAACATTCAGCTAAATTTCATAGTCATCTTTACTTATTTGGTCTTAATACTAGTTGAACATTAATTCTGAACCAACTCCTAAGGTTTCTTTTTTTGAACTCTTTCAATTTTGTTTTATTATTTTATTTTGTTTTATTATTTTATTTTATTTATTTTTTATGTTATGTTATGTTATTATTTTATTTTATCAAATTTCTAAACAGCCCACCTCACCTAAGTGACTAGGTGATTTTCAAACAACATTTTATTAATAGCAATAGCACTTATATACCGCTTCACTGTGCTTTATAG